ATATATTCTTAAAATCAACATTTTGCATCGTATCTTTATTGTGTAAATGACAAACTTATAATATCTGTAAGATGTTATGACATACGCAGAACGTCGGCGGTCGCCTTGCGAATGGCGGAGGTTCCAAGGATGCTGGCGAGCCGTTGCTTAATGGGCATGTCCATATTACTGAGAACCCTACGGTGAGTATGAACTTTACTGACGTTAAAAAATACTTTATTTTTATAATAAATATATATATATTTGATATATATGTAATAAATAGATATAATATTACAAGGAACGGTCGGAATTACTTTAAAATAGCTGTCGTCGTAATTTGGGGGGTGTGTGCGGGGAGAGGGCCCTGTGAAGTTTCGAACTTGGGACGCTAATAATTTTCGATAAGTATATTTATTTTTGAAAACGTGAAATAATGCGACTTTTATTTTTTAACCGACTTCAAAAAAGGAGGAGGTTCTCAATTCGACTGTGTTTTTTTTTGTATGTATGTTACGCGATAACTCCGGTATTTGTGAACCGATTTTCATGATTCTTTTTTTGTTGGAAAGGGGGTATTTCCATAGTGGTCCCATTTCATTTTGAAGAAAATCATCCACCTCAAACGGTGGCTGTTCACGCATGAAGATTCATTTTTATAAATAGCGCCTAACTTTAATTTAGAAGCAATTATTTAGTTGATTTTGCTATTTCTCCAATTCAAGGCGTTTTTCTCTCGATATACTTTGAGTAGTGTCGTAGTGAGAACCTATTTTTATTATCTCCAGTATCAAGTCCTGTATAGTGGCGAACTAGGGGATATTTCAACAAAACTTAGCAAATAGACGTAATTCCACGTACTTTTGAGGTCGGTTTTTTTAGTACTCTGTACTGAGATTATAATCTATATCGAGCAGCCCCCGTAGCATGGCTACGCATGATAGTCGCGACGCGCGCGATAAAATTGAAATAAGCGCGCCCTATTGGCTATGTAAATTAGATTTGATTGAGACAGCCAATAGCGCGCGCTTATATCACTTTTATCGCGCGCGTCGCGACTAACATGCGTAGCCTTGCTACGGCGGATTTTGGAAGCCTTTGTAGCCAAAGTTCAATATAAAAAGGCGACTCAAACCTGGGTGTCGACTCCTGTTCTCCATCCGACATCTGTTCGAAATATTTACTTTCAAATAAGAATTACACGATCAAAACCAAAGACGATGATGAGTATGAAATGATAAGTATGAAGCTTCATTCGCATCATGCCTCTTTTAATTTAGTGGAGTATTACTTATTTGACGGCATTGACTTACAATTATATGGACGTCGGGTCCGCGCTAAAACGTGTCCGAACTTATAGGGCGTTAAAATCGTATACAGAGCGTCATTCACGCTTTAGTCTTCGTTTGTTCGACTGACAGCGAAGCAAGCAAAATTAGACAGTACTGCGATGACATTACAATTTAAATTCAACGTTTTAGCTTTTTACATGTCACTACGTTTAAATAGGTTGACTTGGGACATTTTTTTCGTGGTTTTTGTATTAGACCCGTCGTCCATTTATTTGTAAGTCAGTGCTTTAAACCTAATAATAAATACCTCGGATACATTATAATTTCGCCTTACCAATTTTCTTTTACAGAGAAGTTACAGCTGTCCCCAGGGACATTGGATTGATCCACATTGGTCGTCGAAATTTTACGGTGACTTGGCGATGTTACGAGGCAGAAGCATCAGACGAGGTTTACGTCTACATGGTTTGCGCCAGGATGGTGGACGGGAATGACAAATGCCAGGAAAGGTATGTTATTGAATTGGAATGCATTTTCTCAAGTACAAACCAGAACATGCAAAACTGCTCTAATTAGAGAAAGCGTAGTTGTAATGGCTTCGAAGGTCTGTAACAAATTTCCGATTGAAATAAGAAATGTTTGTTGCTGCTGGCACGGGTTCCTCTTAGGCGAGGGTTCTAGGCTATACTCCGCCACGTTCTATCTTACCGCCTGCCTTGTATGCACATCTTTGAAGTTAAAAAGACGCGAGACATTCACAATATAAATGTAAGGGGCCCAGACAGATTAGTTTATAATAGTTATACTAAACCATCGAGTATATAACCAGAAATAGAGGCGAAATGTAATTTAATTTGTTTGAAAACTATTCTGCCGTATAATTACTGTGACAACTGCGCTCCGATTGGCCAGCCCGAGTTCGAAACAATTGACGGGTGTCGTCAACTGTTTCACTTCAAATCGTCCAGTTAACTTGATCTTTAGTATAATGGACGAAAATTGCAAAATTACTTATTTAATATTTAATTACCGATGAAATGTGATTCCGTTTATTTTGTAATTAGATGTTTTGCTGTTTCTCCCACACCACCGAATAGAACAGCACGGCATTGTTAGAGATATTATCTTTATTACAATAAATACAGAATATTTTTTGGAATATACGGAGACGTCCACACAGGTCAGTTGTTGGCCTGTCTATATTTCAGTGCAAACGGGAGTTGATATTTATAAGAGCTGTATCGCTAATGTGTTACCAGGAATATATGGCCCTTATTTCGTCTTTATTTCTGGTTATATACTCGATGTACTAAACTAAGTTACTACCAGAAACAGTGCGGGGCTACGTGTGTGAGGATATATAATGCTTTACCCTCTGATATAAAAATGATAAATAATAATCTTCTATTTAAACGTCAGCTGATGTCATGGCTAAGAGATAAAAATTTCTATTCAATTAATGACTTCTTTACATATATTTCTCAATAAATTTGACTACTTAACTTATTTGATAAGGAATGTATTTATATTTTTTGACATCTTCATGACATGGCAATAACTTACTATTATAATATGTTATCTTTATACATGATAGGATTTGCTTTAGAATTGCTTAGCTGCCAAAATGTTGACATCCATAGATTTGCAATCCGATAGCCGTAAAATATGAGTACTGTTTTATTATGTATACTTGTAGCACCAAATTGCAAATCATATTTTAAGCAAATAGATATCATTAATTCATTTATTCATTCACAGAAAAACTACACAGCTTTAACTTTAAAAAAAACTAACTGTATAAGTGGCGGTGTCATTGACATTTATGTGTTGTTACAGCAAGAGAAACTCTGCGACTTTCGAAGGCCTGCAACCTAACACAGTGTACGAAGTGCGAGTTCAGGCTCGTATACCAAATCGTGCTCTGGGCGGGCCTTTCAGCCCACCTTACACTGTCACTACATTGGCTGAAGGTGAGTATTGACAATTATCCAATTTCCACATACCAGTAGAGCTACTAGGGAAAGGTTCGTTCAGGGAATTACTCTCACCTTACCTATTATATTATATATATATACGGAGTTATATTCCGAAGCCCAGGTGCTCACGGTGAGGCAGTCATTTATACTAAAATGTGTCTTACATCGTCATTCAAATCTACCCCTAGTTAAAATTGCTCTTGGTAGACGACAAGGTTTCCTTGTCTGTGATACCAAGCGATGCTGTACTGCCTTTGCTAACGGACAATTAACTGAACTAAGTACTAGATTATATAATAAAATTAATAAATCCCATCAAATATATGCATTAAACAAGTATGAAGTTGAATATATACTAAGAAAATGGTTACAGAAATTATCTTATGAGAAGACGGAAGAACTCCTGGTTATATTATCATAAATAGACTTCCATACTTAAATTTTATTTATCTATTTATTTTATTTATCTATCATATAAATGCTATTAAGCGCACTCTACTCCATTTCATTTCACACACACACTCAAACACACACACAAACACACACACTTTCACACACACACACACACACACACTTACACATACTTTCTACTTACTTTTTATTACTGTTATTGCTACTCTACACTAGATTCACGGCACTGCACTACAGTATTTCAGTTTTAGCCGCAGTTCAAAGATTGTTTTCTTTTCTGATTTTGCCGAAACGGAGAATCTTCGTAACACTATTAACACAGGTTTTGTACCTAGAATAGGTTATGATGGTTCAACTTTTGTCTGCCCATACAATCGAATTGTACCTTATTGTAGTCATCTAGTTTAAGTGCTGTATGTTTAAATTGAATAAATTTATTATTATTATTATATATTATTATTTCTTCCGCCAAGCAGTAATGAGAGCATTACTGATACCCAGTATAAAGATTTTTAACAAATCACAGCAGGATTTCGACAACTCGATAGCTTGACTCGTACCTCTTTTGATAAGAGCAATTAGTATTGCTACTACCTATATGTAATATTGCATGCTGCACCGTACTCGACGCAGTATGGTCATGGGTGAAAAATGTTTTTCATTGTGTTCGATCGTTGTATTAACCGCCTCAGTGGCCGAACGGTTACCATACTGGACTGCCACACAGAGGTACCGGGTTCGATTACCGGGCCGATAGAATTATATATAATAGTGACTGTGGGTGTAATTTGTAGTTGTCTATGTGTGTGTCCATGGCACCCGCGATACACGGTTTCTCTAGTGCTGGCTATGAGTGTGTGCGCGTTATCATAATAATTAAATATAATTAATCTTTTACGCAGTTATTTTTAGCAACAGTAATTAAAAGTTCCTTTATATGTTTAACAGGTCCTCAGCGCTTCAAAGACCTAAAAGGCGTGTTCATAAACTCGACAACTCTGCATGTCTCCTGGAACGGCCCTCCGGGGAAGTATACTGTGCGCTATAGCACACGGCTCTGGTTACCTGTCGAACAGTGGACTTCTGTGCAGACTGATAGTAATAATGTTTTGGTGGGTTACTTTTTTATTAACTGATTTTACTATTTGTATATTTTAGACATTGAAACCGTTAGATTGGTTTACTTCAACTACTTTCACAATTCAATGACATCTGGTATTTTGCTGTGGGGCTATGCCGCCGATATTAATAGGATCTTTGTCCTGCAGAAACGTGTGATTAGGGCAATTTACAATCCGTCACAGTATATTAGCGAAAGACGTTAAGAGTGTAGTCATCGAGTATATAACCAGAAATAGAGACGAAATGTCATTTAATTTGTTTGAAAACTATTCTGCCATATCATAACGGTGACAATTGCTCTCCGATTGGCCAGCCCGAATTCGAAACAATTGACGGGTGTCGTCAATTGTTTCACTTCAAATCGACCAGTTGAACTTGAGCTTTGCTATAATGGACGAAAATTGAAAAATTACATAATTTAATATTTAATAACCAATGAAATGTGGTTCCGTTTGTTTTGTAATTAGATGTTTTGCTGTTTCCCACACCATCGAATAGAACAGCTTCCCATTATTAGAGATATTATCTTCATTACAATAAATACAGAATATTTTTGGAATATACGGAGACATACACACAGGGCTGTTGTTGGCGCTGTACTATTTCAGGTTTCTAATTTGTGATTCCAGCGCAAACGAGGGTTGATATTTAAAAGTGATGTAAGATCCATTAGAATGATGACTTGCCAGTGATGGATGGCCCTTATTTCCTCTCCATTTCTGGTTATATACTCGGTGAGCGTAGTTAATGGAGGTTCATCGTCTCGATCTGCCCTAGAGGGAGACAGGTGACACATTAATATGTGTATGTAGTAATAATTAAAAAGTAACCACTTTTCAGGTTATTTACATACTAAGTTCTAATTCCTGTATCTTTTAGATTCACGATGTGGAACCGGCAGATAAGACCTACGTAATGGTGATTGGGTACAACCCCCCGGAGCACAGCCAAGTGGAGACCATCACTCCAGGTAGGTTCTTACTCGTATATGTAAATTCATTTAGTTTTTTTTTACATAATACCCAGTGACGTGACGTACAAGTGCGCCTGGTGGTAAGTGAAATGCCTATCCATAACAGTTGCAATGCCATTTAGAACTTTAAATCGCAAAGAACTTAGGGGTACTTTCACTACGCCTGTCACCTTGAGACATTACCTTTTAAAATTCTAATTTCACAGGAACCCAGTAATGCTCAAATTACTGCTTGGCGGCTGAAATAGGTAAGGTGGCAGTACTTACCTGGACGAACTCTTTCACAAGGACCTCTACTGCATGAATATATACCGAGATTACAGATACGAGGTTACAGCTTATGATGTTAGTTACGACAGCGGCTATGGAGAGAGACAATGTTACCCATTTACATAGGTTTGCTATTTAAAGCTTACTGCCCAACCATATTTATGTTACTCACAGATTTTTTATGCCTGCTGCCTATGGATCAACTACACACAGCAAGCTCTCGGTTGTCTAAGAATTTTGTCCTATAATAGCAGCTGCGCTTCGAGAACATTCGCCGATGCGCAGGTTCGCCGCCATCATGCGGTGACCCATGAAGTTTTAGTAGAGCAGACCTCCTTGTAAAAGAGTAAATTGATTGACTGGATATGTCCAGCCACCTACCCCCTTTCTGCCGCCAAGCAGTAATGTAAGCATTACTGCGTTTCGGTTTTGAAGAGCAAGGGTGTTGGCGAAATTACAAGCACATGAGGTAATGTTACTATTCTGGACTGCCACGCAGAGGTCCTGGTTTCGGGTCCCAGGTCGGGGGAAAAATTTTTATGGCCTGCAATTATTTATCTCGTGAGTTTAGGTGTAATTTGTGGTTGTCTATGTGTGTGTCCATAGCTCCAATACAGGTTCCCTGGTGCGGGACTATAAGCCCGCCATATGCAAAATCAGGGATTGAACCTATATTTATATATACAAGACATAAAGTATTTTATATTTACTCGCAAATGCGATGTAACACATTCTATGTAGCACGGGCGGTAAAAATTACAAACCACGAGTCATTAAAGCCTCGGCTTTGGACTTCTAGCAAACCCTCCTTAGTAATTTCTTAATTACCGCCCATGGATACACAATTTATTCATTTATTTATTATTATTTTTTTGTTCGACATAACATTGTTTCAGGTAAAGAAGAGGTGCACTACAAATACACGCGTGATGGCATCCTGGTGTGGTGGACCGGTCAACGCCCGGGGGCCCACGTGATCCGCTACGAGCAGAATATCACGCGCCCGCTCGAGCAATGGCGTAGCATTGTGGTCCCGCAATCTTCTATTGAGGTAGGTCAAACATGGTTTTTTTTTAGTTTTTTTATGGTTTTTTTTAAGTAACGGGACGAACAGGTTGTGTTTCTGGTGGTAAGTGACATGCATGAACCTTTAGTAATATGAGCATCATTACTGTGACGTTCATTATTACTATTTGGCGGACTATTGTGGTGGACATACCTATTTCTGCCGCCAAATAGTAATATCGACCCCTCCTACCACCAATGTTCCTACGACGATGTGAATAATGCTATATCTAAAGTAGTTGATTGGTTTGCTGTTAATAACCTACTTCTTAATGAGAAAAAAACAAATTGTGTGAAATTTACATTACCCAATGTTAGAGAGACGGTTACAAACATTGTAGTTAGAAACGAAAAATTGAATCTTGTGGATACAGTTGTATTTCTAGGTATAACGTTAGATGCTAAATTGCAATGGGGTCCCCATATAAGTAAGTTATCAAAACGGCTCGGCTCTGCAGTGTACGCGATTAAAAAAATAAGGAAACTTTCAGACGTCGAAACCGCTAGAATGGTTAGATCTACTCCAGTAGATCTCTGGATGAACTCTCTTACAAGGAACTCCTCTGCCACTAAACACCTTATTTATACAGTTATATTATGTGACAAAGTTAAGAATGCTGTGATCCGTAAACCGTTTGAAAGAAGATGAGTAATAATAATCTCTGTACAGAGTACTAAAAAAATCGATCTCAAACTCTCTCTCTCTCAGTACGTGGACTTACATATAATTACCAAGTTTTATTGAAATCGGTTACCGGAAAGTGCGCCAACCCGGGTTCGTCCCCTAGTTCACAACTATGCGGGACTTGACACAGGAGATAATAAAAATCGGTTCTCACTACTCAAAGTATATTGAGAGAGAAAAACGCCTTGAATTGGAGAATAGCAAATCAACCAATAAAATAATTGCTCCTTATTATAAAATGTAGGCGCTATTTATAAATATGATTCTTCATGCGTTAACAGTCACCCATAGAGGTGGATGATTTTCTTCAAAATGAAATGGACCACTATGGAGGTACCCTTTTTCCAACAAAAAAAGAATCATGAAAATCGGTTCACAAATACCGGAGTTATCGCGTAACATACATACAAAAAAAACTTACATTCGAATTGAGAACCTCCTCCTTATTTTGAAGTCGGTTAACAATACAGAAAGTTACGTTGATGTGGTTTGGGCACATGAAGCGGATGAATGAAAGTAGGGTTCCATGTCGTTTAGATTGTGTCCTTCAGCAAGGACATCTCTTTCTGGAATTTCCTTCTCTACAGGTCCTTTTGAGTCATTTGTTATAGCTTTGAGTCACGACCTGCGATGCCAGTGCATTTTCCCCAGCGTATCCCGTCTCTTCTTTGACTATATACTTCCAGTTGTTCGACGATTTCTGTGTTAGTGTATTAGGGCACATTGCTAATGTGGAATGGCGAACTTGGAAGGCAACAGGATGTGGAAATGTTTTCAGAGAATATTCTTAAAAAGGCAGGAGAGGTGATAAATTTAATTAACCATAAGATTATTTTTATTTATTGAATATGTTCTGAATAAGATATTTCATATAAAACATACTGAGTTTGTGTAATAAATGTAATAACTAAAAATAAAGAGAAACAATTTTTGTCACTTTAAAATGTAATTTTTACAGTTGACGGACTTGAATCCTGATCTGCCGACGTACGTGATGGTGTCATCCAGTAAGGGTTCTCTCGGTGAAGTCCTCAACATCGCGCCGAGGCCGCAGCAGGATGATAACTCCGCGTGGTACTTAGGTCAGTCTAGATATTGTCTATATACTATAATTGCATCGATAGCATTAAGAAATGTATAATCGTACAATCATGAACCCTGTTAAGGAGTTACAATCTATATGTATATTGTACAGTCTATGTTTTAAGTTACTAGGGGGTCTGATCCCATTCACCGCCCGAAACAATCTGTCAAATAAGTAACACTCCACCAAATTTAAAGATGTAAGATGCGAATGAAGCTTTCATACTTGACATTGCCTTGATTGGCCTAGTATTACTTATTTGACAGTAATTGTTTCAGGTCGATGTCGAGTGGAGAACGTTTGTTGACCCCCTGAACCCCAAGTCGAGCTTTGGTTCTGAAAGCCTTCTTATGAAATCAACAGAAAAATGTAAAGAAATTGTATTTATACCAAAATGAAATTTTAATGGCTCACTGGTTAAATGTTAAATTTGTTTAACACATTTTCCACACTGATCTATTTAGAACCAAATAGACGTTTAGGGGGTCTATCTGACCCCTCTTAGGGCACGGACTGTACATTGAAAAAAATAGACGTTGTCTTAATATACTGTATTCAACAGAATTATCAAAACGAACCTGAAATAATTATTTGTTATGCAATTGATGCGACGGCTTGTATTGAAACCGCGAGTGGTTCAAAAATAGAATCCTGAGCGTAGAGAAGATTTCAAGGCACAAGACGCGAAACAATTTTGCTGCCGATCGAAACACACAACTTTCACCTCACTATAGCGAGGAAAATGGTAGATGAAAGAAAAACAGTAGAACTATAACAAAAATAATTTAATAAACAAAATTAGTTATCTTTGTCAGTTAAATGTCAACATTAATAAGAATAAAATATACTAACGGATTTATATTACATAAATAATATGCGACAAATCGCGTAGTGGAACGTGTCATTACGTTTTTTTTTCACCACAGTCCATCGTCAAATTCAAATTTCAAAAACCTTTTTTTTTTTCAAAAAACGTTTTTGCGCGCAGATTTCTAATGAGAAAGAAAGCCTTTCCGAACTAGTGAGGTGAAAAAAATGTTTATGATCTATGGGGGTTCTTTGACAGTGACAGTTGTTTGTTTACATTTTTGTTCTTTGAATTCTATAACCGAGTATAAATAAATGCCTACCTGAACCTGGAGTCCCTCATAAAGATTACAATTGTAATAAGTTCAACTTCCAAGTACTTAACAACAGCTATTGTTAGGAATGTAAACGTGACGTTTAACAACTCCTTTCATTATTATATATTATTTGTTCCAGCCGTGGGCATACCTTGCGGGTTGTTTGTATTATGCTTGTTGGCCGTAGCAGCTGTCTGTTTGTGGCGAAGACGGAAAATGGCGCGTTCGCCAAGGTAAGTAAATATCAACAAAACTGTGAAAACTACTTCTGAAGGAAGAATTCACAATTACAGTTACTAGTTTGTACACTTGTGCCCACTACTGGGCACAAGTCTCTTGTAAGGATACAGTTATAATCCATTGTCGACCATGAAGTCCCAATGCAGACTGGTGACGACAAACGTTTTCCAGGGGTTGTGAACCTTTTTCACCGTTATTACTACAAAACGTTGAAATATACGTAACTTGGAAATTAAATATTAAATCTTTATTAACAAATAACGCAAGTTAATATGTGAAGTTAAACACTTGTTTAATTCCTGTTTCCGAAACTTGTTGTAAGTAAACGTGAAGTCCTGTTAAAACTTTGTTCACGCATTCATTTTCGCAAATTCAAATTAGAAATGGTACCAATTAATTTCGATACATTTTTTTTGTATGTATGTTATGCGTGTACTGTGGCATTTGTGAACTGATTTTGATGCTTCTTATTTGTTGAAAAGAGGGTACTTCAATAGTGGTCTCATTTAAATTTGAAGAAAATATTCCTTCTAGGGTGGCAAACTAGGGGATGAATCCGATTTCAATAAACTTGGCAAATAGATGTCATTCCACGAACTTTTGAGGTCAGTTTTTTATAGAATATTGTACTTATGCTATGTTTTAGGCAACGCCGGCGAAACGCAAGTCCTAACGATGGGAATGCAGAGGAAGGTGCTGAAATGAAGGTATGTTGCAAACGTAGATCAAGTTATTACTAAGATACTTCTCACTAAAAACCGTATTCGTTTACAATAATCCGAAGAGGTATTCCTAATGAGCAGATAAAATATCTACATATACAGGGTGATTTGTAAATTACTAGCAACCTCGCAGGATCATATTGCTAACATCATAAACAACAACTTTTGTCTAGTTTTGTTGTGAGTTTTTTCAAAACGTTATAAATTTCCAAAAAAATTTTTTTTTTGACACTTTAAACGACTACCAAAAAAGAGAGCGTTTGTGAACCGAATTTGATAATTCTTTTTGTGTTAGAAAGAGGGTACATCAGTATTGATTCCATTTAAATTTCAAGAAAATATTCCACCTGTAAACCCTTAGAAGAAGAAGGAAGAATTGTTAAGTCTGAAGTCGGCTCTTTTTTTTTTAATAAAAATTATGAGATCTATATTTAGCAGTTAAATGCCTACCTGTCTCCGTGGCCGAACGGTTATCATGACTTTGTTTGTCAGTTTGGGTGTAATTTGTGGTTGTCTAGCTGGCTGGCTATGTGGAGTGTGTGCGTTGTTGCGTTGTTAAATATAAACTTACACCCCGCTGACGCTTTCTTTTGCTATCCCAACGCAGAGTTGTCACCGTTTAGAGCAATCAATTTAAATATTTTTTAGTAGCAGTAGAGTTCTTTATGGAAGAGTTGGAAGATTTCGCCCAGTATCTATTTCTGCCGAGCAGTTACGTGAGCATTATACTGTGTTCTGGTTTGGTAGGGTAAGGGTGAAATTACGGGCACATGGGATTTTGCGATTTAAAGCTCTGAGTGGCACTGCAACTGCTGTGAACAGGCGTGTCGCTTGACACCAGGCAAACGACTTGTTCGCCCTGTCACTTTGTTTCATGAAAAAAAATGTATATGATAAACAATTAAAATTCATACAACAAAAGATGTTGTTTATGATGTTAGTGGTACAGTCTTGCGAGATTGTTAGTATTATTAAATAACCTTGTAGATAGATACAAGGAATAACATGGAGTGAGAAATAGATTTACTGCGTCAAAGGATATAACTGGAAGTCTACCACGAAACACGATACTACGTGTCAGCGTCCGTAACGAAGCTCACTGCTGACATACGTACTACGTATATCAGTTTTAACGATGAAAATAATGTCAAAATTCGATACGGAAGCTGACATTTGACGTTTCGGAGTAAGGACTTAGTTAAATCACGATCTTCATACGTGTTTCGTGGTAGCCTCCGTTCCGATACTAAGTTAAACCGATATTTGTGGGAGACCTCCTGTTCACCTAGAGAACTGTCGTCGTTCGATTTTAAAATATATCTAGAGACACCATGAAAAAAATGCAGTACATAACTAACTGTTCACCAAAGTAAACTAATAATAATAAGCTACAAGCAATAGCTTGGTTTCACAAATGCAGATATTGTTGATAGTTTTATTTAAGCGAGCTTCCGTTACTTAGGAGAGGGGCTGTATAATTAGTATTTTTAACTTTTAATTGTTAGATTAACCCGTCATGCGTGCTAGAACCACAAGTGTTTAGAACGTGCAACAAAAAAATATAAACATAGAAACTTTTTTATTTTTTATTTTTTTTTCCTACCAAAATCGTTGGGGGCATCATGCGTCTCTAGGACGCGAGGTAGCTTAAAAAATACTTTTAATAAAATTATTTTATTTTATTTCGATAAAAACAACAAATTGTTACATATATTCTTAAAATCAACATTTTGCATCGTATCTTTATTGTGTAAA